TCTCACATTTCTCAAGAGCATTCTTCTCCTCCTGATAAGTCTTCTCAATTCCTTCATTCAGCTCCTCTTCCAACCTGATCACTACCGGAGCAGGTTCATTAAATATCCTCAAGAATATTAATCTCAAGGCGTCATCCAGACCCTTGTAGAACAATCTGAACCCCAAGTTCCTCATCATTCTTGTGAAAAAGAACTTCAGTCTAGAAGGATTCATCCTCCCCCATTCCAATATCGACCATCTTTGGAATCTCTGAATCCCAGTACATAATCTACCAATCCGAGTACTATGGACCACGCTGGGATCAAAATCGATCAACGGAACAGAGATAGAACCAGGTCTAGAGAACCCTCTACTGCCAGGAACAGGTTCTGTCCAACACTGAAATCCAATCTCCTCTGCTGACAAGCCGAACCTGGCATACTCAATATCAGCTTCAGTGGGAACCCTGAGAACTCTATTATCTGACCACTGTATATTCGCTCTAGCCAAGATCCTGATCTGTACCAAGAACCATTCTCTACATTGAATCAAATATCTACAACCTCCATGAGTTATGGACGGCCATGCTCCAAGCAGTCTAGTCCACAACTTCACATACTTAGGAGAATCTTGACATAATTTGTCCCTTGCATCCCGAAACCTGAGGGTACAGAATAACTCTTCTCTGGGACCAGCTCTTGCCTCTACATCCTGATGGTATTCTACCCCCTCCAAACTAAGAACCATCCAATCCAAGAACCAATCAACAGCCTCTTTCTGCTCACACTTTAGGAACCAGCAGACAATATCTGGATCAGGATACAAGTCCCTCAATAGAATTCCAGCTAGAATTACATAGGTCATGAATCCGAACCTTATATCTCCAATCCCATAAATACAGAGGGATTCAGGGATCTCAGACCATCTCAGACCCCACATATCATCGCCAGTAGATACGGTTTTATTGAGCAAAGTTCCTATGACCTGCACTCCCAGAGCAGTCATATTTCTGACGTGGAACTTGTATCCAGCAGCAATAGACATTGCAGCAAGATCAATAAATCCATAACTCAGCTCCACAGGCTCATCTGCTAATAACGAATAGAATTCCTCAATCCCCCGGACATCTCTCCAGATACCAAGTCCGGCAGACACTGGGAGATTGCGGAGTATTTTCAGAATCCCCTGTTGAACTCTCATCCGCTCCAAAAAATAGATTCCATCTCTGTTTCTGTGCATATCCAGAGAGATCACAGCCATCCACGTGATCCCATTACCAAACATGATCTTCCCTGGTATTTGTTTATACCCATCCGCTCCATATCTCACTAAGGATTCCTTGGTTGGCTTCTTCTGCAGCAAGGTACCCGGAGCACTTATCTCAACCTTACCCGCCATTCTCAGTGTATCATGATATGTGGTCTTCACATCTTCAACATCTAAAGATACAACACAAGAGCCAAACCTCTCCTGATCCAGATCAAACTGCTCCTGCATCCACAGACGGACCTCATCAATCTCCTCTTCAGACGAAACCCCACATATCAACTCCTTCACTTGCACTTCTTGAGTCATATTCCAGCTTAACCCCCGATGAGACTGGAAACTCTGTAGATCCTCTAGTTTTGGAAACATCCAACCTTCAGAATTCTTCACATCCTCAGCAAGATAGTCCAACAACGGAGCTCCTACTGGAAGATAATCCTTCTTCTCTCCGAACTTAGGAACATTCAGTTGATCAGGGCTGACATTGTCCAAATATTTATCCATACAGTGCTTATCTCTCTTTGTTGCAATCCTGTGCCTGAAACCAGTAACCTCTCCAACCATGTCGACCTTGGCAAAGGTTCGATTTTCACCCCAGGTCTTCTCTCCAGTCTGAGGTATGAGTAGAGAATGGTGTCTACTATAGTCCAGAGCCCTGTATCTCTCTCTTCTCTCCGCTATCACTCGCTCAAACTCATCTCGTCCGCTCGTTCTATAAAATAATATACATGAATACATTATGCATAAAGAAATTCCCATGGAAGCATCCAAGATACCCGTCAAGTAATCCATAATACAATATAAAGATTCTGTACAGCATACATTAAGGTACATAGGGTTGAAGTGAGAGATAATCAGTACTATATTTTGCTTATTTTCTTTAACTTTATTCATCAGCTTTGGCAAGGATACCACAGGCCTTAAAATGAGCCTGTGTATTGATCATAAGTTCTCCAACAGAATAAATAATACTGATATCTCTCACACTTCTTACTATTGTACATTTAGTATTTGAACCCTTGTTACTGTATGCAATGCTAACTTTTCTTCTAGTTACTGCAATGACCTTTCCAAGTTTCCAAGTAATCTCATTTTTGGAACAGCCAGAATCGTTATATATAAACGTCGATTTCCTTTCTTTGATTTGCCTAAATGTTGGAACAGTTTAGCTCTAAATAATCCTGAAATTTCAAGTATTACTAATAAAATTTCTTTTAAATCTACGATTAAAAATCATTTGCTGTCAAAGAGTGACAATTTTATTTGCAACAAACTATTTTGCTGGTCATGCTCTAGTTAATCGTCAATTTTTAACTGCATACACATAATTTTTCTTTCTATGACAATGGATTTTTAAGTCAAGCAATTTGCATTTTTTAAATCCTTCTTATAAAAATCAGTGCTCTGGCATTGCTTTTTTTGGAAAAGGTATTGTTAATGGGTGGAACTTAAACTTTTGCTAATTTTTTTTGCAACGCAAAAAAATTAGGAATGCAATAGTTCCTGGCGCCTCTGTTTCTGTTTTCTGCCTATTGTCTCAAATCAAGAACCAAATTTATAACATGTTAATTGAGCAAATCTGACCCTGTTCCTCCGTCTTCTCCAAACCCAGTCCCACGACGTATCACATCAATTCAGTTCTAATTGATACCACGGTAAACTGCCAGGAGACCAACCTGAAAACAGCTCTGCTATGGCTGCTCTCCTTCCGTTGATAATTAGTAAACTAATAAATATGTAATTTTTATGCACAACCTGTCATATTTTCAACGGAAAAATAAATTATTAGATTAGATTAGATAAACAGGACTATGTCATCCTTGACAGGTGACCTACTGGATTTCAACCATTTATTGGGACGTAGATCTAAAAGATGAATATTGGAAATAAATATCTCAAACCAATTCTTATAAATTTCCCTATTCCGATCTAGCAAATTGGTCAAGTTATAGCTCATGTCTAAACTAATCCCTGCCCCTTCCAAGGACCGATAATTGTTCCTCCCCATCAATAGTCTATTGGGGGTAATAATTTTGAACCCTAGGTTAGTCTCATTAGATGTATCTCCCCTAGCTATAGGGAGATTCCCAATCGCATTTGATATCTTTGCAAATAAACATTCCCATTGTATGCAAGTCATCGGGCTATTGGTATTAATCCCCAGTTTATCTAAAGACTCCCTTAATGTTCTAATCCTTCGCTCAACCCTCCCTCTCTCCGTATGGGCTTTGGCATTAGAAACAATAATCTTAATTCCTAAAGAGTCCTGGATTTGAGCTNGGAAGACCGTTCTTCTACTCAGAACGGAACGGAACGGGACGGAACGGAACGAGAACGGAACGATAAAAAAAAAAGAGGAACAAGAACGGAACGATTTAGCTGAAGGCCCTCGTTCTAGAACGGAACGGAACGATTTCAAAAAAGTCGGAACGTGCCCAGCCCTAATGCATACAACAACTAAAGCATAGATTTTTATAAAAGACCTGGCTCTCTTGTATGCTTGACATTAGAACCCATAAGCTATATCCATCATGGCTGAATGAAATGGCGGAGCTAAAACAGTTCTAGGGATTGGATGAGAACTCATCCTCATCTCTCAATCTGCACTTCAAACAATCCTGGTTTATTTTCTTAATCAAGTTTCTCAAACCGGATAAAACTCTCATTTTCTTGTGGATCTCCTTCATGGTGGTTTCAACTCCAGAGTGTTGGCTGACTGAGGTATGAATATACATAGCATAAGAATACAAGACCGGAGAATCACACAAAACCACTGGTATTTCATCGATTATCTCATGTTTATCTATGAATTTCACATTATCCAGGTCTTCAGTCCTGAACTGAAACTCCGCAGATAATCTCCCATCAGCATAGATTATTCCTTCCTTCTCCAGAAACTTTTCTAAAACCGACCTTTTTACCGTGTTTTTGATTACAGTGGTTTCATATCTAAAGAGTACATCCTCTGCTCCTGTTTCATCCTCATTAGGTTTCCATTTATCTTTTCCTTTTTTGCATATCTCGCAGAATGAGTCCAGGATTAAATGCTTTCTGTGCTTCAATATTTTATGTACAGCTTTTAAATAAGAAATAGTTCTCAATGTCCGTCTCCAACCCAAGAACACAGGATCCACTATCAGCTCCGCTGAACCCCTGGCCACCCTCAGAGCAAAGACAACAGGGGAAAAATCATCAGGTGAGATAATAGGTTCCAGAATAGTTACATTGTTTGGTGCAAGTTTAGAGTTTTGGTCTGGATCAAACTCTGATAAATGAAGGACCCCTGCTTCTAAATCAACTTCAGCGTCACTTAATCTTGCGATCCTGAGCTAATTATGATCTAGAAAGTCTTTTTTCCCACTTAAAACCTCTTTTGTATTACCTCCAATGAAGCTTGCTTTCTCCGGGTTATCTTCAAACCCTGTTATATGAGATTCTCCGAAGCATTCTACTCTAACTTCGTCTTCTATTGGTTTCTCAACCCTTAATTGATCATACACAAGTAGAGGCATATCTTTTTTTTCTAACTTCATCCAACTCATTCCTTCAATCCATCTTGAACCAGCAGAGACGTCCTTGTACTGTAGAGGATGTTTCTTAGTTAGTAAATCGGCCAAGTTTAAATCACTCTCAATGTGATACAATGGGATCTCTTTGGCACCGGTAGTCCACTCACACATCCTGAGGATCGTCATTACTCTATTTTAGACAAATAATCTTAGCTTTATGTTTGTATTATTACACCAGCTCAACGCTATGGTTGAATCTGTGACATAAATAATTTCTCCAACTCTCCGAGGGCTTTTTTAACAAGGAAAGCTAGCTCCGTACACAATAGTATTGCAGATAATTCATTCCTTGGAATCGTGGCATCCATCATTTTAGATTTCGAAGCTAATAATGAGCAACTCCAAGATCCATCAAAATATCTCCGACCAGCATAGATAGCAGCCCCCCCACATAGTTCAGCAGCATCAGACAGACATATCAGCCTTATCTCAGGGTCAGCAACTCGTAAGCTAGGAATACAAAACCTTGGTATCATTATCTCATGTAAATGCACATACTCTCTTAGAATCTCCTTCCATTCTACTTGTTGATCTTCAGGAATTTCAACATCCCAGTCTAAGTCCTGAATTTTCATCAACTCCAGCTTCATTTGAACCTTGATTGGCTCCCAGAACCCACACGGATCAAACATTTCAGAGATCTTTGCGAGGATCATTCTCCGAGTAAGTTTCACGTCCTTCAGCAGCAGATCTGCATCTTCTTCCGATACTGTAGGAAACTCATTAGCTTTCTTCTCACCTCGTTTCTTCTTGTTCATGTTAAGTTCACCTATTCCAGGAGATAGAATATCTTTCTCAGTATCCCATTTGTATCCCAGCATTTTCATGCTTTCTCCATCCAAGCTAGCTTTCTCTGATGGTTTATCTCCACTCCTGACTACGAATTTGAGAGCAAATCCACCTTTTCCTAGAACCTTTTGCACCGTCTCAATCTCTCTTTCTCTATCCTCCTTAGTATCTGCTCCAGACAGTAAATCATCAACATATCTGTTGTCTTTGAGAGGTTTCTCCGCTTCAGGATATTCGTCCTTGAATAAACTCATCAGTTTCTCAATAGCATATCCAGCTTGACCGCCTGTACTGGATATCCCGTACCAAGCCCTCACCATTACCAAGACCAGGGGGTCGGTTGCAGCATCCAAGGATTCATGATATAAGAACAAGGAGTAAGGGTAACCAGAGGGATGCATTCTCAATTGATTGTATAATTTTGAAATATCTGAACTCCAGGCATACTCCCTACATCTTCAGTTAATAATTATATTGAAAATGAAACCCATCCTGTTCTCTCCCTTTGCTAGCAATAAATTGAACAAGGTTTGAGTGGGATCGACAACCATGCGAACAGGAGTGGTCAAGGAATTCGTTTTCATGATTAACCTCCAAGGATTGTAATGTCTGAACCCCGCTGTTCTGATGGAATCTTGAGTATCTTCATCCAGGTCTGATAATTTCTTCATGAAACCTTTCTCAACCAGATCCTTATGCACTTCTCTCATACCTTCCTTAACCCTATCACTTTTCCTGCACTGGCCTTTATACACCTTCAACACTTGATTATAATTATCAGTGTGGTGGTGCCTAGCAGTAAAAAATTCTACAGGATCCTTTAAGAACGGATAAGTTCCCACTACAATATTCTCTTCAAGATTTATTTTGACACTTTTTTCTATGAACTCCTGTTCTCTAGCTTCCTGGAGAGATACGGCAGTAGTTCTTGGAGATTTCTTGCATTCAGTGCATCTTGAGCAAGCTGGACAGCGAAATGATATTGTATCTTCAATGTCATCCTGGTCTATCAACATTCTCATCCTTGATATCGGAACCTTGGCTACATGTACCCCGCAGTAGTGATCAGGCTCATGTATGATCTGGAAGTTGATCCAGGTTGCATTCTACCTTGGTTTCAAATTGCTCCGGGACCTCACCTCCAGCATCCAACAAATCCTTTTCAGAGAAAGGGTATGGATGTATGGTGGTTCCCAGAGCCTTATCAGTGAGTAAAGAATAAGGTCTGCTCTCCTCCTCTCTTAAAAGGGTATCCTCAAATCTGTCTCTAAGTAAGAACACAGCATGAGAAACCTCATCTCTAACTCCCAGATTACCTTGAGTAAAAGCATGATGTGGACCAGCAAATATTATCCTTGAACCCCAGACATCCTTAAACGGGCTTAGATATACTCCTACACTGGAAGGTAAAACCTTTAAGAGGACTGGATCCAAATGGGTGTTCTTGATCCCTAGTAGTAGTTGAACTTGAGCACCTCCCACGCTTGGAGGTAGAATAACATTCTTTTCCTCAGGTTTAGCATTATCTCTATATTCTTGACATATCTCTGACAGATCATATTTTCCAAACCCTGCAGTGACAGAATCCATCCCCGCACAAACTATCTCATGATACTGATTATCTTCTCCGGGTCCCAGGTTGAATCTAAACGTGCCATAATCTGTCTTTATCTTCTTCCCTCCAACCACAGTGAGGGCAGTTGGCTTACTGGAGATTAGTTGTAAATTCTGCTGCGTAGCCAGAGCTCCATCTATAATATGAATGTTTGCTCCACGGTCGAAAAATACCAAGACCACAGCTTCTCCAATTCTAATGGTCTGCATTAAATAACAAGCATGTTCTTGAATCTCCGGAATTACAGTGATATCTGATGCTCTGATACGACATCCAGTCTCTGTATCAATCACAGGAGCAGGTTCCAGATTATTAAGACTCTGACCCCAGCCCACCCCATTGGCTGAACCAGGAGCCAGAGAATGAATCTGGTACATATAATTCACGGAAAACTTGATAGATGAATCAAAGATAGTAGATCCAAACTTTCCAATATATTTCTCCATATCCTTCTTTAATATGGTGAATTCAGCCCTGGAAATAGAATGGTCCTTTTGTCTGCAAAACAAGATGTTGAACGGAGCCAACCCTTTGGTCCGAGCCCACGATTTACACTCATCACATTTCAAAGTAGCAGGAACGGAATCTTCATTTGGGCATTTCTTTGGAGTACAAATATTCTTCGGCCGTAGACAACAGTAGCACAGTTTTCTCTTATCCATTTTATCCCATCGTTCAGTTGGGTTCAAGGAGAAGAATTCAGCACAGGTACTCATCTCATGTTTATGATTTCCCAATGGGCAAGGGAATTTCAAATGAGCAGGATACCATTGTTTATTGTGGAAGTTTGTATTATGAGAACTAGCTGGGACTTCATCATCAGAGCTGCTCTCATTTATTACTTGAACCTTGTGGGTAGATTTGCTCTTGTTCTTGCTCTTTGGCAAGGAACCTCCTTTATCCGCTCTTGAAACTTCATTAGTATTCCTCTCCTGTATACAGATCTGCTTGAAACAAAGGAAAGCATCATATCCGACGGGATTCTTGAAATCCAAATCTCTTTTGGTCATTTCTCGAACCCAAGCATAATGATCCTGGTGGAGAAGGAGTCTGGACAGAGAGCTCACAGTACTATTTGAATACAGGCATGTATCCAACTCAAGTTTATTAATGTCGCTGCCTTTGCTAGTTTCTATAATCTTTGAAGAGCACTAGTGATAGCTGCATAATAATTGTATTTATCCCCTATACTTCCAAATTCAGGTTTAGGTTTAGAAGACAAATTAGAAACAATATCATTGACAATCCTGGAAGCCCCCCCCCGTAGTGGAGAATGAGCCATTGCTTCATATCTTGATAATAATCGGACTTATTTATTAATTTACCCTTAATTTCTTCAGACAAATGTTTATTGTATAATCTATTCGCCTTCTGTACTGAATTACCCCATCCTAGATAAGCCAGTTCTGCTAACTCCAAGAACTCATAAATAGTGACCTTCGAATTATCAGAGCAGATTCCTACCTCTGTAGCATCTCCTCTAGATGAATTTATTGAATGTACCTCAGCCTTATTATATAACTCCTCTACTCTTCTACACCAGGTCTCGGCTCTATCCAATAAATCAGTGATGGTGTCGCAGTATATTTCATCCATACCTTGAAAATTGACATATTTTTGTAGAGATTTCTGAATATGTCCCACTGCAGAATGGATTCCAGGAACATCTACTGTCTTACACTTCTTGATCAAGGCTATATCTATGATCTCAGACGATACATTGACCTGGATAAGCTGTTCTATCTGCTTTTCAAGTCTCTCTATACCTTTTCTAACAATCTACCTCTCTCTTGCTGCTCCTACAGAAGACTTATTATGCAGACTTGGAGTAGGGGCCGGTTCAGGATGTGATATTACAGAAACTCTGTCAACTTGCTCAGCCAATCCTACTACTAGATTACGTAACCCTTCTGTGACATGTTTCTCTGCTCTGATCGTTTTCCTAAGTTCTCTCACCTCTCCTCTCATAGATTCTACAGCCAGACCAGGAGCGCTATCATTGATTACCTCTTGTATAGAATCCACTATCTCTCTAGGGATTGGAGCATCGGATTGGGGTCTTAAGTCATCAATCCATAATTGTACAGTAGAGAATTTATCATTTATATCCCTTCTTGCATTGCTTAGTCCTAATTCCAGATAAGTGCATCTCTGATCTAAGCTTTCCAAGAAGGAGTTATTACTAGATACAGCTTCCTTCACACTACTAAACTCTACGCATAAATTCTGGAATAGTATCTTGGCACCCTCTAAAGATTCATTAACCCATTAGTGACGAGACAAATTTTTTTTTCTGATCTTGCTGAAATTCACAGGGTTAACTCATTATAGTGTCCATAGAGTAGATCTAAAGTTTCAATTTTTTTCAATAAAGGGTTGTGGAGATACAGAGGCCGGCCCATTTTGTCCGGCTCGGACCAGGTCAAAATTGACCGCCCGGTCAATT